TCATATTACATTAGCATAGCGAGGCGTCAGGGTAGCAGAAGTAGTATCGATATTAATAATGGTAAAAGTGATTAAACATGGAGATTATTCGAAATGAAAAAATGGGTTTATGGACTAAAAAGTACCATAAGTTAATTCGGAAACTGGAGATCAAAGGGAAGAAAAGGTATGAATGCACCTGCGCCGTTGGAAACGATTCTAAGCCATTCCCACCCAAAATATCTATTTATTAGCCACATAATCGTACAGAACCCCATTAAACAGTTTTCATCTACCTACATGGCTTAGTTCAAGTGTCAATGACTTTATGGGCTGATGCAATATATTGTTTTTACCACTCCTAGATTACTCCTATACCAGCCAACCTAGCGAGTCCAGGTAGGCGGTGATTGGGTGTACGTAAAACATGCCCCAAACCACTTCAGTTGATGAAGATTCACTACTTCATCAATAGATTTGCCATCTTTACCCAGTATCCTATGCATAACCTCAACAATACAGACTCAGTGGTATTAATACCAACGAGTAGTGCTTTGAAGATAGTTATGATCGAATACCAACAATCCACTAATATCCACTATTCTTAAGGGGGAATGCTTAACACTTATAACGTAAACGGAGAGGACTGCTAAGTGGTAAACTAATTGCTTTGCTGGTATATGGGTATCTTACCTACGCTACAAGTGACGTATTAATTAGCTATTATTTCTCTGATATATTCTGATTGTTTTTTTTGTTAGAACATTCTTAGAAAAGACACTTCGAATAAAGAATTGTACATACATTATCTTAGATGAAATATGTCATTTTGAAATGGAGAAAAATATCGAGTTATATAAGCTGTATAACAAACAAACAAACATGAAACAGCAAATCCAGAACAATGTAACTTTGAAATTTCACCGTTTACAAAACTGACACTAAATTCATTGGTTTCATTTTAATAACCTGACTACTTGGAAACTTTAATGTTAAATGTAAAATTTTAAACTTTTGTCTGAAAAATTCATGGATTTATATTCTCATATTTAATTAATTAACTTACAATAAACATGGTACATACGATACTTGAATATTTGACAGTGTAAATTGTGAATTTACTGAAGGCTCAAGTAAATCAACAGTATTTCAAAACACTGTGTATCATAAGATGGTGATTGAAGGTAGTCAATAGGAAACCCTGGATCCGGGTTTCCTGTTATTTGGCACTCGTCAGTAAGGTGTACCTGTAACCTTGAGAGATCTGGTGCACGCAATGTCGAGTCACTTAGACTAGTGGCTACATTGCAACTTGGTCGATAATATTCGATCTGCAATAAGAAGGACCTGACACACATGTCATTGATCACCATCCAGTGATCAATCAATTGTGAACTGTGTATCATAATTAAGAAATAACAATAATATCAAGAAAATACTTAATATATGTAGTATTTTTTCTTTTTTAATTTCCTACTGATGAAGAATTTAAATATTAAGAAAAAGTGAAATCATATTAGATTTTAGGTATGAATTAAATAACAACAGATTATTGACAATCATTTCAGTGAATAAGAATCTTGATCATTAAAACGAGTGAGTTATAAAAAAAACAACATTCTAATGTACAAACGAGACTTCGGTAAATTAATTAAATGAAAAAAATGTTTGATTTCTAATTAAGATTAATGTGCATCTATTAGTTGTCCTAGAAGTGTTAAATAAATGGAATAGAATAAACAGACAGTAGATAAAGTTAAAGAGACTAATTAGACAACTAATTAAGATTTTCACAGTTTATATCACTCACTGATCTTAGTTAAACAACTAGGATGTAGTGGACAATTGGTTTGTCCTAGTATGTAACTCCTCAATAGCGTGCATTTACAACCCAACTAGAAAGTTCTTATAGAAAGATGTGACTAGTAAAATTGTATGTGGAACAGTGACCCAATGTAGGCAATAGGAAATGGTTGTGCAACATTGGAAAGTAAGTGACGTTGGACATGTAAACCATTGGGTGGTGTCTTGGTGGTCTAAATGATAAGAACTCACGGAGAAACCTATGGGTGATGTATTTGATCCCTGGCGGGGTCGTGAATGTACTCTGATAAGGAAACTTATACTGGTACGAAACAGCACTTCTTGGTTTTCAATTGTTGTTGACTAAAGTTAGTTGGTAATGTAAACAACAGAATTCAATAAACTCCACAAATACTTTACAATAATAATTGATATTTATGTGCTTTTCATAAAAGTTCTTATCAGATTATTGAATAAGTTAATACAAAGTCACTTAATGCAGTAGTAAAAGCACACGAGTATTTCTATTTTGTCATGACTTTGAATTCATCAATATTGGTTTTATGAGTCAAGTAGTACTGTAAAATCATGCATGCTAGAGATAACTAGTAGTATGATGGGAGAATTAGCACTTTATTTTTTAAGCTGAGATTATCATAAAAGGATCAAAGTAATCATGAAAGAATCATGATTAGCATTACAAAAATGAGGTTATATTTGAGATAGCATTAAACTATGCGTATTCTATATGAAGTTCTTTTTAGTAAAGAAATGAGATATCATTAGTGTAAACAAGCTGGTAAACAAAGTGGGTATTGAAACATTTGTCCAAATGAGATAATTGACTATAGGATAATTACTTGCCAAATTTAACTATTTTATTTATTACTTTATACAGTTAATTGTTTTCTTCTTGATTGAAATGTGTGCGTGTGTGAGGGTAGAATAAAAGAATTTTTAAAAGTACTGCCCGCAATTAAGCTGGGTTTTATAATCAATATCGTTAACAGAAAATGTGGTTAAATGCATATTATTTTTCCATTTTCTTTGATAATTATTTAGATTGAATTAGTCGATGAATAGGATTGAGTAATGCATTCGTTAAATGAAACAGATACAAAACATATTAATTTATTTATAACAATCTACCCAATGCTCAATTTATTCGTAATCACCAAGTTAAAACTTGGTAATGATACCTACAGTGGCTTTGTTCATTTCGCCAGAGATGTTCCTCAGTCAAGTGACCATATAAAATATCACAGATTGTTGGCAAACAATAAGGACAATCGGGAAAATACTAATCAGTCTGGAATTAATCACAAACTATTCCCTTTTTTCTCGTATGAGATTATAAGGAAACAGATGAACAAACTCTGTGTAGGGATAAACAATGTCTACTTATGCAAGGATAAGAGGTCTCAAGAAACATTAAAACGAAAAAAACAACAATATCAACAAGAAATATACTCAAATAATTTTTTACGATTACTAAGCCCTTGAATGTCTTCGATTAGAGGGAGACAATCGGAATATCTAACTATTTTGGTCGAATTTTACTGTTGCTTAAAGTAGTTTTGCCTATGACTAGAGAACATATATTATTAAATAGACAGATGCAAGCAAATTGACAGCATCTAGTAATTTAGTAAAATATCAGACCGAGCTAGATTTGAAGTCAAACGTCAATCCAGTGTATAACGGGCGAGTTGATAAAAAAGGCCACTTTTTTGATGAGGAGACTAGGTGGAAGAAGCACGGACCGAAAAACGATTGTACTTGACTAGCGTTTGTTAGTTCAGTAAGGCATTTTATACTGGGTCATAAGAATGATGCGACTAAGCACGTTAAAATGTTATAAAATACATCTAAACATCAAAGTAGCTAGTGTAGAATTTCGTGTTTCGCATAAAAAGTAAAAACTAATTTTGAAACAAATACAGTTTATATATCTCTAATCACGTCTGGACTAAAAATTTATAATTTCTACTGGCATTATTATATGATTAATTTTTTTAGTTTTCTCGTAATAATGCCACTTTTTTCCGCGAAAAAAATACTTGGACGAATTGGTTATAAACAAAATTCAGATTAAACCGTTTAGAACACTTGATAAACCGTGACAATTTAAACCCTAATCTTTTAATCGAAAGGCAACATTGTAAAATAAGATGAACTTTGTATTTCGAACTACCAACCAGGTTAGTCTGCAGTCTTAGAATAAATTTCAAATGTGTTAGTTAAAATGTCTCGGAGATCAGAGTTAAAAAATGTGGAAACGTATTGAACATCAGTAAATATTAGATAAGTTGTAAAATAACAACAGTGTTTTAATCAACTCCTAAAGACTAGCTATCACATAATTATCAATGAAAGGCACTTCTGAAGACTAAGTTAACGCAAAATGAGAACGAAGCCAGTTTGTTCCTGAATTTCTTGGTTGCCATCTTTCAGTCATCTGACATCGTGAGACACCTAGGATATGAAGCTGTCTAATCTATATACTACATTGCACTAAACAAGTTTATTATGAATAGTGACTACTTTTGCTGTTTTATAATGGTGAGACAGTTCTTGAATATCTAAAACTTCTAATGACAACTGTCTTAAGCTTTATTTTCACAGCTATATATGTAACAAAGCAAACGTATTCTGAACGAGAAATCAGAAATTTACGTCCACTAGTTTTTGTCTAGGATTCGTTTTCCGTTTTATAGTTAAAACAATGGCAATAAAAGTATGGGGTTTGAATACTGAAAACAAGTGCTGTACACTGAAATGAGGTTAATTGTAAAAATAGTGCCAGTTTGACAGCATTAAGCCCAAATGACCCATGAAGCGATAACTTTCAGATATCCTGTCAAAAACAACAATGTATGTCTCAAGCAAATTTAGGTTATGTGGATGTTGATGTTTACCTAAAAACTAATAGTAATGATAGATTGGACATCCTGAAAACATGGACCTACTTATTCGAAATAATATAATTAAATAAACTTTGAATACTTCGGGATCACCAAGGACTTTTACCCAATAAAGCAGAAACTTAAATAAAAAAAATCACGTCATTGATGTCTAATCCCTTAGCAAATAGTAAAACGCTAGTGCAGAGAAACATATAAATAAATTTAAAAAGAGGTTCACACGGAAACACTTACCTTGCAACCTTCACAAGAAATCACCCCATAGTGGTAGCCACTTGCTTTGTCACCACATACCTTGCAAGGAGTGAATGTTGCCTTTATGGATCCAACGTTAGAATTACTATCAGCAGCAGATACTTCAGAACCTCTTTCTATGGTCCTAGACGATCTGCAGTTAACCAGTGACCCAGGACCAGAGCTGACTGTTCCACAAGGCGTAATAGAATGATCGGGCACGCCGTTAGGAGAATCTCGAGGTGAAATTTTTACAAGAGAATCTGTACAAGTTACATCACCCATATTAGTATGGCTGTTGTGAGGGCCTAACTGGCGAGGTGACGTAGTGATGTGAAGAGGACGTAAATCAGAAGAATGGAACGGATCTGAATATGGGAACTGTCCATGGTCACGATGCTGGGAAAAATGACTTTCTAACGAACCAACAGAACCGTTGTGTTGATCCCTGTTGACAAGCATGGAATTTTGTAACATATCATGAGGAAATATCTGTGACAGACCGTAGTTGTTGTTAGGAGCTGAACAAATGGTGGACGGAACCTGACGTTGGTAGAATGAATTTGAAACACCATGTGAAGAGGTGTAACTTGAAGCATAGGCTGACGGTGGACTTGGTAAAAAACCCTGGGGAAAAGAATGTCTGGACGGCAAAGGATATGGATGATTAGCAGACATAGGTAAATTGCTACAGTCCGAAAATCCTGGGTACGTTTTATTTGGGAAATTTAGATATGATTGATCAAGTGATGGGGAACCATTTGAATCTGTGCATCCAGGAAATCCAGATAAAGGAGGGGAGGGAATGATTGAGACAGAGGCACTCGCATTAGTTTTTAAGGAGAAACTGCTGCTTACACCAGAATCAGAAAATGATGCGCTTCCAGGATCTGCTTTGAGGTCGAAGTTTGATTCTGGGCTTATTGCCATCACTAATAAAAATTGATTAAATATGTGAAACTAAATTAGGAATTCGCAAATTATGTTTAGTTAAGGGACGTAAATAATGGATCAAATTAAGCCCTAAAAATACACAGATAAAGAGCAAAGGAATACCGTCTTACAAAACTAGTCTACATGCCAGAAACTCCAAGCAAGCCAAAACGTTTAACCACTGCGGCAAACTTGGGTTACCTAAGGTCGTTAGAGGGTCTCTATTTGCGGTGCGTTTTAACAAAATTACGGTGAAATACATGAATATTATTACGGTCTACTGATAAAGTTTGCTAGCCAAGTAGCGTTGTACATAACTTCGCTGTGATTAGATAACGCTTAAACACATCATAATATTTGAGTAATAGTTCAGAAGAATTTAGTTCTCAGTATTCAGTGGTTAGGACAGGAAGTTTATCGACCTATATTAATCCCTGAAATTTGTTACACTGTGGAGGTACAATTTCACATTGAATGTATCAAAAGAAGGCACCGTTATTATGTATTCTGGTAGGGGATCGCAGTAATCACTACTCCGGACAGAAGCAAAACTGCAGACGTAAACGATTGGATGTCGTTTTTTTAACCTTCTTGGAATATCCTCTTATATGATCACTTATAGATGGGAAGGGAAGTTGATGCACATCAATACTAAGGCAATCGTTTAGTATATGACAAGCAAGTATTAGATCACTCCGTAAACTGCGTTGAGATAATGGAAATAATTTGAGGTGTCTCAGTCTGTCTTCATAGGATAGGTCAAAGCGATCTTTAACCAGTTTGATTCCACGCCGTTGGACTTCTTCCTTCATATCCGCCTAATACTGGGGATAAAGACCAGCTATTTGAGTCCCATATCCCAAACGCGACCTCACAAAACAGAAGTATCTAACTCCAAAGATTTCTTTGTTCAAGTACTGAAGTAGCTTACGAACAGCCCATGAGACCCTGAAGACTTTTTCAGTGACAGCCTTGCGGCTGCTTTTGGCTATAAGGTTGCTGTTTATTAAGACTCCTGAATCTTTATAGTCCATTGTCTTTGGTAACAAAACCCCATATACTGTGTGGTGGTTATATTTTTGTATCACCACACGCCTGTTAGGGACAACTTACGATGACTACCTACTCACTTATGCTACCGGTAAATTTAGGCCGTCCTGTAATATTCTGCCTGACTCACTGTGTATGGATCTCTAAATCTTTATGTCATCAGCAGAGAGTAGGACAGATGACCTTGCGGCAATTTGTAAGTCATTTACATGAATTAAAAAAGAAAGAGGACAGAGGATTTTACCTCGCGGAACCCCACTTTCCTCAGATTTCGGCGCCGAGAGAGCCCCATATGGCCGTTCCTCTTGGTCTTTTATCATTGACAAAGTCAATTATCCAGTCAACGATTCCATAATATATCCCGAAAATTCCCAGTTTTAATTTGAGACTCAGATGGGAGACTTTTCCAAAGGCTTCACTTAGATCTATGAAAGTCCCATCTACAGATATGTACTTCCATCTTTTGCTGCAGCCTAATTTTCTCTTGCAATGGGTGGATTTATCAAGGATGATAGGCCTTCTATAAAACCGTTTTTTTTTCAGATAAAAGACTATGACGTTCCACATAGTCTAAATAGCCATTCGAATAATTGTCACTATTAGTTTGACAACTACACTGGTTAGACAAACGGGTTTATAGTTGTCAAGTCTATGCTCCCCGCTCTGTACAGTGGACTTATCAGTCTCTTGGCAGTCTGGACTGGGAAATATATATATCAAACGGTATGCTCTGAGGTTCAGAAATCACACCACGCATGGCCTTCATAATTCGTATATGAATATCGTCAGGACTACTCAAATTATCTGGTTCGAGACGTTGAAGCAAGTGTAGGACTTGTCTCCTCAGAAATGTTTCATCGATTCATTTTAGTAGAGTATATTTTTACATATCAGTATTACTTACTTAATTACCTAAGCCTGTTACGCACCTAAGACTAAAGCCTCCTGACAATGGATCCTCAATCAACAAAATTCTGGGGTCACCTTTTCACTTTTTATCAAGTGCTATCAACGGTCGTGATATGTACTATCTATTCCCAGAGCCTTTGTTGTTGAGTGTGCCTTTTTTTCTTTAATTTTGGGAATGAAAAGTTGGAGATCGCCTTTTTACACAACTTGAGGGTTTCCATAATATATGTCTTGTTTAACTCCATCTTTTTCTAATTCCCTTTCAGGCCGAGCATCTGGTTTGTATTTCGTTTCAGTTGGTTGATGTTGATGCACAATGAGTCACACGTATTTTTAGGAGTGTAGGGGTTGTGGAGGTTGTTAAGTTTTTGATTAAGATCATGAATCGATTGATGTTAGCTGTTTATAATTAAATGTATTATTTGATGGTTGTTGTATTAGTACTCTGAGTTACTGATTGACACAACTGTACTGTTTTACTTTTCAGGCTGAAAACTCTGACCTCGATCTTCAGTGAATTTTTCTTGAGTCCTAGATGTCTTTCAATTTAGGGAACGCTGACTTTGCTTTACCGATTCGCACCCTAACATCTGCCCCAGATTCCTATTGTTTATTGACATCACTGCCCATCTCATCAAGAGCTTCACTATTAAGCTTAATTTAGCTATTGATTGCTGTTTACAGTTCGCGACCTTTCTGTTTCCGCTGTGCATGATGAGGCCTGCTTCTTTAAAACCCCTCAACAACTACATGTCTTCACTTTTATTTATTGATGTATGTGGAATAAAAGTGCTTAGAAGTCTTCAAGCTCCAGCAGCACCCAAGGTTTCTACTAAATTCAAGGCTTCTTAGGTGTGGAAGTCTTCACAATCCAGTCAACAATCAAAAGGAGAAGAAACGGCCCAAAAAGAGTTTTGTTTAGCACTAGTCTTCGCCCGGAATGTGATTTAACCTTTCTTAAGAGTACTGAATGATGGTGACAGTCTGTACAGACAGTCCGTAGTGTAGAAGAAAGTTTCATAAGGTTCTCCTGTTAACGTTATTGAATGCTTTCTCGTAATCAAGGAATTCGACTAATTATGATGGGCTTCATCAAATCATTCACAGAATAAAGATACATAATGTCGCTATCTGGTCGGCTTATGATCATACTTTACAAAATTCAGCTTGTTGGCCGCAACATGTAGCGTTTATTGAACTCTTCCCCAATCTTTGCTTGATAACGACAGTAAAGTGACACCTCCCTAGTTCTCACCCAAACCAAAACTTCTTTCGTTCGATATTTCTATAAAATTTTCCCATTTCCCATCGTTCTGGTTCAGTAGAATTTGCCTATTCAAAAGCGTCTGATTTGATTTCTTTTACTGATCTCAAACGTCAGTGGTTAGCTTTTCTTATAACTTGTGCTATGTCTTGTTCCACTAGCGATCTTGGTACCTGAGTAGTAGCGTAACAGGAGTTCGCTGTGTCATTCGTATTATAAATGCCATGGATGGAGTCTAGTTCTCCTGAAAGTCAATGCAATATTATTCATTCGCAGAGTATATATTTTATTGGAATAAGTGATGATAATTCAGACCTTGAATCTCACAATAAACAATCCAAAGTTTCTCCATATAAAATAACGTTTTAAATGAAAAACGGATTGATAAAAAGGTATTAAATATCTGAAAATAATTAGGAGCTATCTGGAGGGATTCGAGCAATTATTCCCAGAAGGCATCCGAAGGTCAAAAATAGTCAATCACTCCACGCCGTAACCCCGAGTTCGGTGAAACACGACCTTATGTCACTCGTGCGACAACATACAACAAGAAAGGCAAATAACTTTGACAGAATTTGAGCAACAAAAACATACATAAAGATCCTTAAGAAGTATAAAAGATGATTGAAAGAGTCCTAAGTAAAAGTCAAGCTGAAAGACAGTGTTGTCTTATAAAACACTTTGGAGGGGTTTTTCCAGTATTCAATCTACCTCACATATTAAAATCGAGCTCTATTTTATTAGAAGCTAAAAAGTGGTGAATACAGTGTCGAAATACTTTGCGTAATCGTGATTCAACGTTAAGCTGTCAGCTGATGGTCGGCAGCGCTTATTAGTTGTTATGCCTCGATAAGAATAATGAATGGTAATTTTTGGGATCCATTTGTGAACCAATATATATACGTATAATTTTACTATATAATTGTTAATTAACTAAACTATTCTTATCGACTAAATGTTTAAATATTTCAATGGCAGTCAACTGACTTATCGATTACATGCTTAAAAGCTTCATAGCAATATCGAATACGTAAATAAGTATATATATATATATATATACGTTTCTAAATTGTGTTTGTGTGATAGCTCGTTTTTTGGCTGTTTCAAACCGTACTTCCTACTCTAAGATTGGACTTATCTCTCTAGATAAGGGGGCTGGGGCGCATCAATAGCTAGCTTACTGGTCTTACGTCCCCGAGTCTTGTTTCTCGTTCGCAGATTAAGTGAACTCGTGATAGCTTCAAACCTAGCATTAGTTTAAATCAATATTTCTGGTAAGCACATTTGATGAGTATTAAGTATGCCTTTCTTAACATCAACGTTTGGGATTAATAAAACTGGAAATAATTTTTAAACATGCTATAAGTGGGATGAACCAGCAAATAGTTTTTGCAACTATAACTTACGTATGTTGTTAAGTTAACGATTATGCTGTTATCTGATATATTGTAGACGCTTAACCTGTTATCGGTCCAAAACAACATAGTAAGAGTGAAGAAGAAATATTAAGATAAGTGCCAGAGCTAACAACAAAGCAGCTTGAAGAACCCTGCTGTGATATTTCAAATAGGTACATCAGCCTATCTTATAGTATGGGAGAAAAACATGAAAAGGATGAAGCTGCTTATTTTTAGTCGAGATTTTAATATCAGTTTCAGAATAAGTTTTCCTGCCAGATTCATCTGATTCACTGAATACCAACTAATTATTGTTCAACACTCCAAACTGTGCAACACTATTTATTGTTCTTTTGTTGCATCTGTATACATCAACA